CGCGTCGAGAAAAAACAGCGGGGCGGCGGGGCGGAGGCCCTCGCCTGGCCTCGGGGCTGTCAAAAGACGGCTCAGGATGACAAAGCGGTGCGGAGGAAAGGGTTGGGATTTCCAGGGACCCCGCACTGAACAAGTCAGCACGTCGCACGCCTGTGGCGTTCCCAGAGATCCGAGGATCTGGATGTCCTGGACGTCGTGGCGTCTCTTCCTGGATGTCGGCTTCCGGGACACGTCGTCGGGCCCGAGGGCCATAGAAAATCGATCTGGGGCGGAAGACCACCCCCGGGGAATGGGTCGGGACCTCTGGGGCCGCGGATTGCAACATCATATATCGGCGGTCGTCTGGGTTTCAACGAGGGGGGTGGACAGGGCGCCCGCTCCGCGCTCGTCGGGAGAAGCCTGCTCTGCGACCGGCGAAGGCAAGGTGCACTTCGAGGAGCAGCACGGGGCTGTGCTCCGGTGCTGATACGCACGCCTCCAGGAACACCTTCTAGGTTCGACGGTGCGCCCAGGGGGGGAAGCTCGGCGGCGAGGGGCAGCGTGAGGGACCCCCGCTTGTCGGGGTGAGAAGGCGTGTGAAATATAGCTGGGGCGCTGACCTCAGGAACCCTAAACAAGGAACGAGGCCTCTCTCTTCCACGAATTAATGGAGGCACATGATTAAAAAAACATTTGAGGGCGGACGTTTTAAAAAATAGTTTCGCCGGCCTGGTTGGGCCCACATAAGGGGGGGAGGGGGCGCCGCCCACGGAGGGCCCCCCCAGGGCGAACAAATAAAGTTCTCCGGGAAACAATTACGGTTGCCCCCCGGGCCGTCTGGAGGGCCAGGGGGGGGGCGAGGGCAGGCAATTCGGAGCGGGGGGGGTCGGCCCTTCCCTCCTCCCTCCTCCTTCCGCTCCTCCTTCCTCCCTCCTCCCTCCGGCCTCCCTCCTCCCTCAATTCCTCCTCCCTCCTCCCTCCCTCCTGTCTCCTCCCTCCTCCCTCCTCCCTCCTCCCTCCTCCCTCCCTCCCTCCTCCCTCCCTCCCTCCTTCCTCCTCCCTCCTCCTCCCCCTCCCTCTCTGTATCCCTCCTCCCTCCCTCCCTCCCTCCCTCCTCCTCCTCCCTCCCTGTCTCCTCCCTCCCTCCTTCTTCCTCCCTCCTCCCTCCCTCCTTCTTCCTCCCTCCTCCCTCCTTCTTCCTCCCTTCTCTCCTCCCTCCCTCCCTGTCGTAGTAGTCGTAGTAGTAGTAGTAGTAGTAGTAGTAGTAGTAGTAGTAGTAGTAGTAGTAGTAGTAGTAGTAGTAGTAGTAGTAGTAGTAGTAGTTGGAGTAGTAGTAGTAGTAGTAGTAGTAGTAGTAGTAGTAGTAGTAGTAGTAGTAGTAGTAGTAGTAGTAGTAGTAGTAGTAGTAGTGGTAGTAGTGGTAGTGGTAGTGGTAGTAGTAATAGTATAGTAGTAGTCGTAGTAGTCGTAGTAGTAGTCGTAGTAGTAGTAGTAGTAGTAGTAGTAGTATTAGTAGTAGTCGGTAGTAGTTAGTAGGTACGTAGTAGTGTAGTATAATAGTAGTAGGTAGTATATGTAGTCCGTCGTAGTAAGTACTAGTACTAGTACTAGAAAAAACAAGTACTTAAAGTACTAGTACTCTATGAGTCAGAGTACTAGTACTAGCACTATACGACAGTACTGAGTACTAGTACGTAGAGTAGTGTAGTAGTCCTAGTAGTAGTCGTAGTGGTAGTAGTAGTAGTAGTAGTAGTAGTAGTAGTAGTAGTAGTAGTAGTAGTAGTAGTAGTAGTAGTAGTAGTAGTAGTAGTAGTAGTAGTCGTCGGGGACGGGGGTAAGGAGGAGCAGGGGGGGGACGATTAAAACAACTGTTTTTTTGCCTCCCTCCTTCCTCCCTCCTCGGAGGGAGGAAGGAGGAGGAGGGAGGAGGGAGGGAGGAGGGAGGGAGGAGGGCGTCCTTTCGGACGGCGTCCTCTCGGACGACGGTGGCCTCCCACCCCTCCCCCCTGTCCTGCCTTCCTTTTCCGTCTCGCTGCGCCCCTTCGGTGCTGCAGGGCAGGCAGGCAGCCAGCCCGGGCGTGCGCGCGCGCCCGGCCCTCGAGTGAGCCAGGCAGTCAGGCGTCCTCCCAGGCCGCGAGGTGCCTGTGCGCCTCCTGCAGGACGGCCCTCTCCAGCGTGCGCCTCTCCCTGCTCCCCACGCCGCCCTGCCTCGCCTTCCTCTTCCTGCCAGGCTCGCCTCCGTAGTTCTTCTGGTCGCGTTCCAGCCTGGCCTCCGTCCTTGCTGCAGCGGACAGGAGGATGCTCGCCTTCATCGCGGCGGGGGCCTCCGCCACCCTGGCCTCGTCTGGCTCGTCCTTGTCCTTGTCTGGCTCGTCTGGCTCGTCCTTCTCCTGCTTCTGCTTGCGTGCCTCCGCCTCCCTGGCGAGCCTCCAGGCGGCCTCCTCTGGCGGTTCCTCGAAAACCACAGTCAGGAAGCCCTCGACCTCCAGGAGCCCAGCGAGGAAGTTCTCCCTCGGGGAAGGAGGCGCCCAGGCGGCCATGCTGGGCGCGCAGGAGGCGCCGCTCGAGCCAGGTTTGCCTCTGTAGGGAGCATAGGCAGGACGTTGCTGGGCGTGCGGAGGTGCAGCTGCGAGTGGAAGCACAGCTTCTGCCTCCTGTACCTCCTGGTGCCCTTCTTCTCGGCGAGTTCCGCTAGGTGCGCAGTCAGTGCGGCGAGCCTGTCCTGCTCGGCCTGCGCCAGCTCTGCCCCCTCGGCGGCCCTGGCCTGCAGGTCCCAAGCTTCCTCCTCAAGGAGCAGCGTGAACTCGTCGAGCAGGTCGAAGTCAGACAGGGAGACCCCCAGCATCAGCAAACTCCTGGCCCACTGGCAGACGGCCTCTTCCTGTTCAGGCCAGTCCGCAGACTTGGTTTTCTTCCTGCCCCCCTCCTTGCCCATCCGGACACCCCTGTCCTTGGACTGAAAGCGGGACCAGCCAGGCGTTGCCGCGGCGCTCCTTCGCCTGCTCGCCTCCTCTGCGGCTCGTTCAGTCCAAGCCTTTGCTCTCCTCTGCTCGTCGTCGCTCAGGTAGCGCTTCAACGCCGTCTGGGTGTAGCCTGTTTCTGCAGTCAGCCTCTCCCAGAAACGGGCAGGCCTCGCTCCAGCGAGCGCCTGCTGCGCGAGCTCGTCGGCCAGTCTCTTCATCTCGAGCTTCCCTGCTGGCGTTGGTGGTTCCAGGTTCGCCACGCCACCGGCTTTCCTGGCCTCGACGACCTTCCTCGGGGTATTCTTGCCCGCCACGCCAGGCGGGATCGCTCCCCTGCCTGGCGGTCTCCCCCTCTCCGGGAGCAAGGCGAGGACTCCTTCCTCGCCCCCTCTGGCGGCCGCGTCGTCCAGCGCAGCCAGCGCGCCAGGCGCCTGGGAAGGTTTCAGCCTGCTGGCGGGCGTGGCAGGCTCGCTCGGGCCGGGCGTGGCAGGCTCTCGCGGCCGCTGCAGAGGCGAGAGCGTCAGGGCGCCGCCGCTCGCAGGTGGCAGCGCCCCCTGCTCGCTGTCGCGTGCCGCCTTGGCTCTTCTCTCGGCAGCCTGTAACGAGAGAGCCATTCGCTTCTGGGCCCTCGCGCGCCCCAGCTCTCTGGCGGACTTCGGCTTGGGTCCGCGCGCGCCGCCAGCCAGCAAGAACGGCGCGCAGCTCGCGGGGGGCGGCGCCGCCTGTGGGAAAAAGTCAGCCAAGGGCGTCTGCTTGAAGCCGTCGCCTGGCCCCAGCAGCCGTCGCAGCTGGTCCTGCGCGTGCTGCACCTCTGCCTCTGCTGCCTCCGTGGCGGCGGCGGCGGCCGACCCCAGCGTGCCAGGCAGGTTCGCGACCCCCTGCTGAGCAGGCGCGTCCTCGTCGTCGCTGCTCTCCACCAGGAAGGCCCCGCCTGGTCCCTCGCCTCGCCCTGCCGTCGCTGCCTCGCCTGCCTCCTTGTCGTGGCCAGGCAGCCGCGGGGAGCGCGAGGGGAGTTCGCCCCCCTCGTCGGGCTGCGCGGCGTCGCCGCCCAAGCCTGCCAGAGCTTCTTGGCCTGCGTCCTCGGCCTCGCTCTCCTCTCCCCCTCGGCCTGCGTCCTCGGCGGCCCTCTCCTCCGAGGCCTCGAGCTCCTCTGCCTCGGCCCCAGGCTGGGGCGGGCAGCGCGCCAGGGGTCCTCCTTCGTCTGCGTCCTCGGCGTCGCTCTCCCTGCTCGTGTCGGCCTCGCCCTCCTGTCTTCCTCGGCCTGCGTCCTCGGCCCTGCTCGTGTCGGCCTCGTCTGCCTCCTCGCTTGCGTCCTCCGTCCCTGCGCTCTCTGCGCCCTCGTCTGCCTCCTGGCTGTCCTGTCCTGTCTGCTCCGCGGGCTGGGCAGCCCGCGAGGCAGACTCCGCTGCCTTGTGGGCCTGCCAGGCCTGCGCGCCGCTGCGTCGGAAGGCAACCCAGGCCTCGGCCGCCTCGGAGGAGTCAGACTCCGCTCCCCTGGCGGGCTCTTCCGCGGCTCCTCGCAGGGGGGGCAAGCCCCCTCCAGTCAGGCGGAGAACCCAGCCGCCCGTCGGCCGCGCGGGCGGCTCGCCGCGCGCAGGTCCTCGCGCAGGCCGGGTGAGCCAGCCGAGGCAGTCAGGGCCCCTCCGCTGACCCGCCATGCCGCAGGCCACGGAGGGCGGGGCCAGGCGCCGCGCCAGAGCCCTCTCGAGCCGCACAGCCGCGGCGAGAGTGCGGACGGAGAGGAGGCGACATCGGTCGCACGTCCGCGCGCGGGCGTCCTTGCGGGCGACCGCGCGCGGACGTGCGATCCTTCGGCCTCGAACGCCGCACAGGAAACGCAGTCCGCGCGCGGGCGTCCTTGCGGGCGACCGCGCGCGGACGTGCGATCCGTCAGCCTCAAACGCCGCACAGGAAACGGAGGAAATGATGATGATGATGATGATGATGATGATGCTGCTGCTGCTGCTGCTGCTGATGATGATGATGATGATGATGATGATGATGATGATGATGATGATGATGATGACACGGCGCGGCACAGCACGGGGCATCCTGCACGACACGGCACTGCACCACGCGGCACGACGCAGCAACATAACACGACGCCGCAGGCGACCGCACGGACGCGCGACACCACTTGGGCGGGAGCGAATCACTTGAATTGTTTCTTGTGGCCATCACAGTATGTGTCCACGCGACGAGCGAACAAACAAACGCTGGAGGGAAGGAGAAAGGGGGGAACGATTAAAAAATCAGTTTCGGGCCCCAGCCCTCCTCCCTCCTCCCTCCTCCCTCCCACCTCCCTCCTCCCGCCCTGCCTCGCCTCCCTCCCCCCTCCCCCCTCCCTCCCTCCTCCCTCCTCCCTAGGGAGGAGGGAGGAGAGGAGGGAGGCCTCCTCCCTCCTCCCTCCTCCCTCCTCCCTCTCCTCCCTCCCCCTCCCTCCTCCCTCCCCCTCCTCCCTCCTCCATCCTCCCTCCCTCCTCCCTCCTCCGTCCCTCCTCCCTCCTTCCTCCCTTCCTCCTCCTTGGAAAAATCGAGAATCTTCAGGGGGAAAGGGGGGGGGACGATTAAAGTTGCTGGGGGGGGACGATTAAAAAATCAGTTTCGGCCCCCAGATTCTAGTAGTACGCCCAACTCTTCACGGATAGGGCCCCCCGGGGGAGGGGGGGGGGTGGGGTATTTTTTTAATCATATGCTCACATTAAACTTCGATATTCCATCGACAACCTAAGGACAACCGGAGGCGAACTGTAAAACCGCTCAGGAACACTGAACCCCTCCCAAACGAAAAGGGTCCCTTCTGCGGCGCCCCGACTGTGTTCGGCTGTCCCCCTCCCCCCGGAGATTCCCGAGGCGCCCCCGACGAGGCCTGCACGAGGCTCGCAGCACGCCCCCAAGGGGCCGTCGAAGGAGGAGGAGGAGGAGGAGGAGGAGGAGGAGGAGGAGGAGGAGGAGGGGGAGGAGAGGAGGAGGAGGAGAGGCCCCACCTGTGGGGCCAGCGGAACGGCGCAGGCCACTGGAATCCGCCCGCCAGCTGGGCCGAGGGGCGTCTGAGATTTACTGTGCCCAATGGGGAAAATCGCATTCCTCCTCCTCTCCTCCTCCTCCTCCTCCTCCTCCTCCTCCTCCCCCTCCCTCCCCTCCTCCTCCTCATCCTCCTCCTCCCCCTCCTCCCCTCCTCCTCCTCCCTCCTCCTCCCCCTCCTCCTCCGACAGACAGACAGACAGACAGACCGTGCGGTGGCCTCGGACCCCCAAGAGACCTCACCGCACGACCCTTCCACGCGCGGTCTTGGGACCCGGAGGCCCCTGTCGCCGCCCGAGGCGTTCTCGGAGAAGGACCCGAGTCCCACAACCGTGCGGTGACCCCGAATACCCACCGACTCACCACACGATGTGGTCACCACACCGTTTGGGGGCCGAACATCTGATCCAACAAATCCCTGGACCCCCCCCCCACGGACAACCCGGACAAACCCCTCCAAAACGCATGCCATAAGCGTCCCAGCATGTGATTGTGGCTGGCGCTCGAGCGGGAGCTCCTGACAAGGCTTTAGCCCCGCCCCCCTCCCTTGCCCCCCTAGAGGCCTCCACCATTCCGCCGCCCGGCTGCGGCATCGACCCTCTGTCGAGCCTCAAAAGTCGGCTTCCAAAACGAGCTCGATGTTCAGATCCTTCTGGCGACGCTCTCGGGGCGCATCTTGGCTCCACGTCGGCCCCTTGAGGGCCCCTCCTTGGCATCCGAAGTCGGCTCCTTAGAGCCCTCCGGAGCGCCTCTGGAGCCCACGTACAAACTGGAAACAGCAACAACACAGCACAACACCTTGGTTGTTGATGCTGTTTGCCTTGCATGTGGGTCGCACGGACGCCTCCTCGAACTAACGGTCGGGCTCGTCTAGGCCATTTTACGACATGTCAATCTCGTCACTGAATTTGGCAGCTTTCGGGGTATCAAGTGTGGACGATTCTGAGCCCAACTATCGGCGGTGGACAAACCTCCCTTTCGTAAACCACCCTTTAGTGAAAACAGCTGGGACCGAAACCGACGGACCTGGACCCGCAAAACTGACGGCCGCGACGCCCTCGCGCGAACCGAAAACGGCCAATTCGCTAATCGACGTCAGGGTAGAAGGTCTTTCCACCTCCGACAAGTGTGGACGATTCTGAGCCCAACTAGGGCCCCCAAAACGGAGTGAGGCCGAAGCCGGCACATATCCAGGGCAATGCGAAAACGGGGCTCGGGCCCACCACCATCAGGGATGCTCGCGCCTGCGCCATCCAGAGGCCCGCCTGGGCAGCCTCGGGCCCTTCCTGAGCCCATGCTGAACCATTCTCGGGGCCCTCTCCGGCCCTCGAGGGCGCCTCTTGGACCGGCGGGGGGTCTGTCACCATTTTCGGGATCCTCAGTGCGTGCGCGAGGAGTGTCTCTCACTCGGTTGACCCAAGTAGCCCAAGTAGTCCGAGCAGCCAAAGCTGTGAGGATTTCTCGAGCGGCGCCGCACGAGTTGTGAGGATGCCTCGAGTGACCCGAATAGCCAAAGCAGAGGGTTGACTCAACTAGCCCAAGTAGCCCAAGTAGCCAAAGTTGTGAGGAAGTCTTGAGCGGCGGCGCCAGAGTTGTAAGGATGTCTCGAGCGGCCCAAGTAGCCCTAGTAGAGAGTTTGGCCCAAGTAGCCCAAGTTACCCAAGAGGCCCGAGTAACCCAAGTAACCCGAGTAGCCTAAGTAACCCAAACTGCGTTTAGTATCAGCTTGAGTCGATGATGATGAGGAGGAGGAGGAGAAGGAGGGTGATGATGGTGAGAAAGAATGGCGGCGCCTGAGTTGTGAAAAGGACTCGAGCGGCGGTGCCCGAGTTGTGAGGATGTCTCTATCGCAGGCGCCCAAGTTGTGAGGATGCCTCGAGCGGCGGTGTCCGAGTTGTGACGGTGCCCCGAGCGGCGATGCGCAGGTCGAGTCAGGTCTAGCGGAACATTACATTATGATGCGTGGCCGAGTGGCACTCCAGCGCCCCGAGCGAGACGCCGCTTCGAGTCAACACTGTAGCGGAATCAAGCAAAATCAGACGAGGCGGAAAACGCCAGAAGATTAAGTCACCCAGAGGCCCCCAGGTGACTTTGTTCCCGGCCCAAGTAAAGCGTTGCCCCAACTAGCCCAAGTACCCAAAGTTGCGAGGATGCCTCGAGCGGCGGCGTACGATTTGTGAGGATGTCTCGAGCGGCCCAAGTAGCCCAAGTAGAGGGTTGACCCAAGTAGCCCAAGTAGCCCCAGTAGCCAGAGTTGTGAGGGTGTCCCGAGCGGCGGCGTACGAGTTGTGAGGATGTCTCGAGCGGCTCCAGCAGCCCAAGTAGAAGATTGACCCAAGTAAGCCAAGTGGCCCAAGAAGCGAAAGTTGTGAGGATGCCTCGAGCGGCGGCGCCAGAGTTATGAGGATGTCTCGAGCGGCCCAAGTAGCCAAAGAAAAGAGCTGACTCAAATAGCCCAAGTAGCCCTTGTAGCCGAAACTGTGAGGATGCCTCGAGCAGCGGCGTGCGAGTTTCGAGAATGTCTCGAGCAGCCCAAGTAGCCCAAATAGAGGGTTGACCCAAGTAGCCCACGTATTCAAAGTTGTGAGGATGTCTCGAGCGGCCCAGGTAGCCCGAGTAGCGGGTTGACCCAAGTCGCCCAAGTAGCCCAAGAAGCTGTGGTTGTGAGGATGCCTCGAGCGGCGCCAGAGTTGTGAGGATGTCTCGAGCGGCCCAAATAGCCCAAGTACAGGGCTGACTCAAATAGCCCAAGTAGCCCAAATAGCCCAAGCAGCCAGAGTTGCGAGAAGGTCTCGAGCAGCGGCGCATTAGTTGTGAGGATGTCTCGAGCGGACCAAGTAGCCCACGTAGAGAATTAGCCCAAGTAGCCCATGTAGCCAAAGTTGTGAGGATGTCTCGAGCGGCAGCGCCAGAATCGTGAGGATGCCTCGAGCGACCCAAGTATACCAAGTAAAGGGATTGACCCAAGTAGCCCGAAGAGCCCAAGTAGCCAGACTTGTGAGGATGTCTCAAGCGGCCCAGGCAGCCCGAGTAGCGGGTTGACCCAAGTCGCCCAAGTAGCCAAAGCTGTGAGGATGTCTCGAGCGGCCCAAATAGCCCAAGTAGAGGATTGACACAAGTAGCCCAACTAACCCATGTAGCCAGAGTTGAGAGGAGGTCTCGAGCGGCGGCGCACGAGTTGTGAGGATGTCTCGAGCGGACCAAGTAGCTAATGTAGAGAACTGGCCCAAGTAGCCAAAGTAGCCCAAGTAGCCAAAGTGATGAGGATGCCTCGAGCGGCAGCGCCAGTGTTGTGAGGATGTCTCGAGCGGCCCAAGTAGCCCAAGTAGAGGATTAACCCAATTAGCCCCAGTAGCCAAAGTGGTGAGGATGTCTCGAGCAGCGGCGCCAGAGTTGTTAGCATGTTTCGAGCGGCCCAAGTGGTCCAAGAAGAGGGATTGACCCAAGTAGCCCAAGTAGCCCAAGTAGCCATAGTTGTGAGGATGTCTCGAGCGGCTCAAGTGGCCCAAGTAGATGATTGACCCAAGTAGCCCAAGTAGCCCGAGTAGCCAAAGTTGTGAGGATGTCTCGAGCAGCGGCTTTCGAGTTGTGAGCATGTCTCGAGCTACGTTGGCTACTTGGGTCAAACCCTTGCGCTACAACTTGGGCTACTTGGGCTACTTGGGTCAAACGCTCTACTTGGGCTACTTGGGTCAACCCACTTTCAAGACACGCCTGGCGCATGCAATGGGGATACTGCCATCCCGTTGTGGCGCCGTCTCCGTCTCTTCCGGCGAGAACTGGAATGGACGGGCGGTGAGCGCGAAGCGTCTTGAATCGATAGATCCTCTCCTTGCTCCCCTCTCACCCTCCCTAGCCTCTCTCCCTCCCCTCCCCCCTGCCTGCCCCCAGAGAGCAGGGGCCGTCCTGCAGTGCGGCCTGACCCGCCAGGTAGGACGCCGCAAAGTTGGCGGCGATGGGCCCGAGCGCGTCCTGCTGCTCCGCGACACCTGCGCACCGACGCCTTTCTGCTGCTGTTGCTGATGATGATGCTGATGATGAAGATGATGATGATGCTGCTGCTGATGATAATGACGATAATGATGATAATGATGATGGTGATGGTGATGATGATGCTGGTGATGGTTATGACGAAATTACCACCATCATCATCAGCAGCAGCATCATCATCCCAGTGGCCAGCTAGCTCTAGGTCGCCTGCCTGCGAGCTTCGCCCTGGGCGGAGCGAGACGCGCGGCCGTGCTCGCGCAGCCAACGCCTCCCCTGGCGGAGGACGCTCCTCCGCCCCCGACAGCACAGCGCCCCGTCTGCCCCGCGGGTGGCCCGGCTGGGCCCGCCCTCCTGCCCTTGCGAGCTATTTAGGGGGGGGGCAGCAACAGCCGAGCAGACCCTTGACGCGGAATGCGTCAAGGGCCTGGCCCTCACGCGGGCCTCCCCGTCCCTCATGTCCTCGTCTTGCTTCTCGTCCTCCTCGGAGGAGGAGGAGAAGGAAGAGCAGGAGGGGGGGAGGAGGAGGAAGGACCGCGGAGTGCTCTGGGCGGGGCACTCGCGCCGGGACGCTGCGGAGCCCGCCGCCCTACTCGTAGCTCGCCCCGCTCAGCACCGCCTTCGCGTTTACCAGCGCCTCGATCTCCCCCGTGCGTGCCGACTCCCGCACCGAGTAGTACTTCACCAACCAGTCGCACTCGGCGTGGAGGTTGCCCAGGGTCTTCTCGGTCGCCATCTGCTCGGCCGCGGTGGCCTTCTTGGCGGCCGTCAGCTCGCCCAGGTCGGCCATGGCGTCTGCCTTCGCCGCGCTCCTGTCCTTGACCGACTTCGACAGACCCACGCGATCGGCCTTTGCGTCGGCGACCATCTTGTCGTACTCCTCCTGCGCGTTCTTTTCCTCCGTCGCGGCCTCCGTGAGCTCGGTGTCGAGGTCCTTCACCAGCAGATCTATCATGGCGATCACACCGGTTCCCTCCTCCGATTGCTTGGCGTACGCCCCCCACGTCTCTGGCGGCGGCTCCACACCGCTCCTGCGGTGGACGTGCTCTGAGACCTGCACGAACGACATGTCCCTCTCGATGGAGCCCATCTCCGACAACTCCTTCTTGGCAGGAGGATTATAGAGCTTGGGGTTATAGAACTTGTTTAGCCGGTTCTTCGCGAACAGCAGGAGCTCCTTCGCGGCAGAGTCGGCCTGCACCAGCGCCTTGTAGTCCTCGTTCTCGGCCTTGCGCATGTCGGTCGCCGCGCTCACAGACGCATCGAGTGCGCTGATGCTCTTCTCGGCCTCCGTGATCTCGACTGTGAGTGCCGCGATCTTCTCCTCCGCACTGGCGATCGCCGTCTCGGTGTCCGATGCGGCGTGCCCGAGCTCCTTAATCTTGTCCTCCGTGGAGTCGATCGTCATATCGCAGTACTCCTTCTTCTCGGAGTCGTCCGCCTGCTCTTTCTTCAATGAACTCACCATCGCATCGATCATGCTGATGACCTTCTCGAAGCCAACCTTCTTGCCGCGCAGAGCCAGCACCAAGAAGTTCAGCCGCGTCTGCTTCGGGTTTGCCGCGCGTGCTTTCTGCAGGAGGTTAAGAGCGCGAGACCTCACGGCGGCTCCGCTCACCTCCACCTGCAGCAAGCTCGCGCTTGGGGCGGCCAACGTCTTCTTGAATCCGACGGGGGGTAGAACCAAGCTGTGTCCCCAATCCGTAGGCGTGTGAGGACACCACGCATCTCGAAGACAGGAGCGGTCCCTCCCGGCCCCACACGTAACGCCAGGGCATAGCATCACATGCAGATCCGTCATATGGTGTACCTGGCCCGTCATTGCACTGAACTGCACTACAAACCCACACCGCAAAATTGCCCAACACACATACATATAAAACAAACTATATAGCATATAGCCACTAGAGGCGTGCTGAGGTCTCCGGTAACAAGTTGCCAATATAACAAGTTCGCGCGCGCGAGGCGGCCCCTGGGGGCCCCGACGGACAAGTACCCCGCCCAGGTCCCAGCAAGTCCCTGGCAAGGCCCCGGCAAGTGCCCGTCAGAGATGCCGAAGGCCTCCCAGACGGCCCAAGAGGCGCCCAAGACGGCCTCAAGAGAGCGCCCAGACGGTCCAAGAGCCCCTGGAGTCTTCGAAAGATCGGCCGACGATGCCCAAGATGGCCCCACGACTGCCCAAGAGGCCGCCAAGACCCTTCAAGAGGCCTCAAGAGAGCCTCAAGAGGCTCTCCACGAGGGCCCCAACAAGCAAAAATCGCCCCATTCCCATGCGAAAACATACATGTTTCGCATGTGCGACGTTTCTCGTCTTTTCGGCTTTCCAACGCTCCAAGACGGCCCAAGAGTCCCCCAAGACCGCCCCAAGACGGCCGAAGAAGCCTCCAAGAGGGCCCCAAGACGGCCCAAGATGGCCCCAAGACAGCCCAAGAGGCGCCCAAGATTGCCAAAGAGGGCCCCACAACGGCCCCAAGAGAGGCCCAAGACGGGGACCAGGAACCGAAAAGTCCAGCCTTCAGCTCCAAGATGCCCCTAGGAGGCCCCAAGAGGCCCCCAAGAGGCCCCAAGGGGCCCCCAGGAGGTACCCCAAGGGACTCAAGAGGCCCCCAAGAGGCCCCAAGAGGCCCCAACAAGGTCACCAGGAGGAATCAAAACTGCCTACCAGAGGCCCCCAAGAGGCCCCAACACGGCCCCCAAGCGGCAGGGCAATATGGGCCGGCGGAATGAGCGAAGCGCTTGAATAACTCCAAGGCGTCGTCATCGTTCAACACCTTCACAGTCTCGGTCAGCGCAACGAGCTCCTCGTTGCGGATCTTCACGCGCGCTTCGTACTCGGCAGTCTTCGTGGAGCAACCCGCCTTCAGGTCGGCCAGCATCTTCTTGTCCTCCAGCAGGCTCCCGGCGATGTCCTCGAAGTCCGCCTCTTAGCTGCCCCGATACGCAACACGCAACACGTATCGTATTGATACGGAACTCAACACGTAGGCTGAAAACGTAGGTCAGACGCGATACACTCGCCAAAACGTGGTCCAATACGTGGAGCCAACACGCATCGTATTGACATGGACGTCTTGAACACGGGACGTATTGCGTTTCAAAACGGGCGTATCGAGGCAACTAAGGTCCGCCTTCATCTGCACAACGGACATGCCGAGCTCCCCGACAAGGGCAAGTTTCTGCTCGATGGCAAGGGTCAGGGCTTCGATTTCCTTCGTCTTCGCGGCGATCAGCGCCTCGCTCTCGGCGGCGGCAGCCCCCTCCGCGTCCTTCGCCGCCGTGAGTTCCTTCGCGAATTCGTCGCTGATCTGCTTCAAGATCCCGGTGATCTCACCGCTCTGAGGGGCGTACGAGGACTGGCCCGAGAGGAACGACAGGACCAGGTCCTTGTCGTCATCACTGACGCTGTCGGACTTCTCCACGATCTTGCGCACCACCGTGGCGGCCGTGCGAGATTGTAGAAAACTCCCAGCCATGCCTTTCTCCAGGGCCGCAACCGCCGCGGAGATCGCCGAGAGGTATCCCTCCAGCGTGGCCTTATTCGAGGCGAAAGCCTTGGCCTCCTCCTTTCGGATCGACTCCGCCGAAGCGATGGCGCCCTTGGCCTCCTCGCGCTCCTTCTGCGCATCCTTCAAGCTCTGCTTAGTCTGGGCCAGCTTCGCCTCTGTCTCCTTGATGTCCGCCTCCAGCTGCGGTTCCTTGGTGCCCGCGGCGTCGACGCGTGCCTGCAGCTCGCCCACGCCGCTCTTGCAGTAGCACATGAACTTGGAGTACAGCTCCTCGAGCAGGGGATCGACTACAGAATCGATGCTCCCCCCACGAAATAAGTTGCTCGTCGAATCCATGGGAAATTCGTGGAACGTTCGCAGGTCTACGAACATCCTGCGTACGACTCGACGAGAAAACCAGTTCCGGGATATATCAATTCTGTAGACGAGCCCCTACTCGAACTCCTCTTCCTTCTCGCCTTCGGCCTTGACCTTCTGCTGCATGTTCTGCAGCAGGGCCACCACCCTGCGGATGGGGTTGGCCGCCGCCTGCGCGGATGCGTGCTGCCGGGAGGCGAGGCACACCGGCAGACAGAGCGCGACGATCGCAGCCACGCGTGCTGCCAGCGCCATCCCAAATCTTCAATGCGTCGCGGACGTGGCGAACCGTTCCGGCTGTGCTAATGCTTGGAGCCACAATGGCTACGGAGGGGGAGGAGGACGAAGAAAAGGAGGAAAAGATGGAGGAGGAGGATGGACAGGAGGAGGAGCAGAAGGAGATGGAGGAGGAGGAGATGGAGGAGGAGGAGGAGAAGGAGGAGGAGAAGGAGGAGGGGGAGGAGGAGATGGAGGTGGAGGAGGAGGAGGAGGAGGAGGAGGAGGAGGAGGTGGAGGAGGAGGCGATGGAGGAGGAGGAGATGGAGGAGGAATGGGAATGGGAATGGGCTCGATGACGAAGTCATGCCAAAAATAAAAATTAGAGTTTGGACTTGGGCCTAAGGCCCCTCTCAAAACGGTCCAAAAACTCCCGCCGCTTCTGGGAAATATGCTGGGGATCGCAGGGCTGGGCTAACCCACGCGTAACGAGTTCCCCAAAGAACCCGCAACTCCCGCAGATCCAAACACCAGAATCCAAAGAAAAAACCATATCATGCGAGCTATGAGCGAAACCCCCCCCCCCCCACCATGCACTCTAAACCCCCGCGGAGGCTTGAGCACCCGTCCTGACGCCTGAAGCTCCGCGCACGGCGAGGCAAGCCAGGCCGTCCTGGCTGCCGCCGACGAGGAGCATCTACACCGCGTGCACCTCGTCCCCGCCTCGTCCAGCTGGTGGACGGAGGCGAAGAGGGCGACGGCGGCAGGGGGGGGGGGGAGCAGGCGGGGGCAGAGCAGCAGCAGCAGCAGGAGGGCGCACAGACGAATTTTCAGCCCGACGCACCTGGACGGAAACTTCCATCGCAGCCAACGTGGACCTCATTAGTCGTCTTCGCACCAGCCTCGCCATACTCTCTGCCTCGGCCACCCGAAAAATATGGGCTTCAACATCTCTGGAACTCTGGGCGGCGACTCTGGCGAGTTCATCGGCGGCCTCGTTACCTGCAGTCATCCAGCTGGGGTAGCGACGAAAACGTTGTCGGACGGAACGACATGCGATGCCACTTTTAAGACCACAACCGAACCGATGCGAGCCTTCAACAGCACACCGATCTCTCTCCAAATGGACGCGAGGGCGCCGCACGGCCGTTCGTAGAGCTGCTCATGCCAACCTCTGGCGACCTCGTCATTGTCAGTAGTGTAAATCAAATCCCCAAGAGGCAAACGAATGGCCAACTCGAGGCCTCTCAACTCCCCTCTCGGAACGGACTGATGTCGTCCAGTGAGAGGACCAAAGACGACAGACCCAAGAACGAAGGGAGACAGAGACAGCGCCGAGCAGATGCCAATACCAACTCTCCTCAACCTCTCACCCCTCCCCTCCTTCCCAGCAGAAGCATCACCAAAAACATACGGAGGAGCCTGCTCCGCGCCCACACCCAGCGCGCCTGGGATGAGCTCGTTGCCCACCAGGTCAGCATAACGCCACTGCTCTTGTTCGGGCGGCGGCGGCGCTGCTGTCCAGCTGGCTGGCAAAAGCCCTCGATGCCAAAAGCATGCCTCGCACTGGCCTTGGGGTAAGGCCTGAGGCACGAGCTGATCTGAGTCGGAGAAGGCGCGATGATTCGCGCTGCTGGGGCACAACCAGTGACGATGCTCGGGCGTCTCGGGCGTGGACGGACGATTGGCAAGTTTACAGCGAGGGCACTCATTGACGGCAATCAAACCTTCCTGAAACTTCCTGTCCTCGGGCCAACACCCACCCGTAGCAATACACGCCACAATCTCTGCTAACTGTCTACCATGCTTGGCCCCCTCGAGTTGGCGAAGGAGGCTACGGAGAGAGAAACCACCCACTCCTCCTGAGATGCCCGACCCGCAAAAATGCTGCTCAGCTGCAGCACACTGCTGCATGGCCAGGGTCTCTTGGAAGTCTTCCAAGAGACCCTTAGCATCGTCAACTGGAACTAGCGCATCTGCTGGGAAGGTTCATTGAAAGTCAAATTCGCCCGTCGAGAGCCGCGGGCCTTTCCCGTCGTTGGGTGCCGAGGGGGGTCCAACCTGCTGGCATCAAATGCGCCACCACAGCCGAGATGGGACCTCGAATGTGCCTCGATCGCTGATTAATGCCCGCGGCTGCCAGGTCCCTGTGGACCCCATCCCAAACACGAAAGATACCCGCATGTGATTCTGGAAACCTGATCCAACAACCAAGCCAAGTCTTAATGCACGACGACGGCAGAGTGATGCCTGGGTCCCGCCCAGGCGCACGAAAATCTAAGAGCGTTGTGAGGCGCTTGCCCTATCTGCCAGATCCAGCCACTGCTCCTAAACGCTGCCGAAGACGCTGTAACTGCTGCCCCGCCACTCCGTAGATATCTAGACCATAATTAACAAGCTTGAGGCCCAACAAGTTCAATCTTTTTTGTAACCGTGTAGCGCCGAGCCGTGCGTGCAAACCGTTTAAGCTTACGGTGCCGCTGCGTCCCCTTCATGGCCCGCTGCCTCCTCGTCTGCCTAGCCTGCCTCTTGCCCCCCCCCCCAAAAAAAAAAAAAAAAACAATGCCCAGATATGGGGCCTGGAGGACGGGGCTGATCTGAACTCCACGACGTTTCAACCGAGAAGCGATCTGCTTGGCAACGACGCGCAGCGGACTGGGTACAACGCTCTTGTCCGCAAGCTTGAGCTCGCGCTCTTGCGTGGGCGTGGACACCAGATCCACGACAGCGACGGTGTAATCTTCAACAACCCTACGCGACCCCAATATTTGAAGCATAAGACCGTCAATCCAAATCCTACACGATGCCGAAATGGGGGCCTGGGATGCCCGCTCCAAGATAAAATATGTTAAACATCTAGCAAAACGCGCACCGTTACGTAATCCCTGAACGACAGACTTGGATGGTTGAAATGCCTGGCTGCTGGCCCCGCTCTGGGAAAGAATACGCGGAGCCATACGTAACTGCAGCTCCAGCGCCATGACAACCGACGGAAATCCTAAACGCGTAGCTGTATAAACCAAAATATCACATACAATAGAATCGTAGATACTCTTAATATCGAGGGCTGCTTGGCTAAACGTAAGCCCCAAACGATGGTAAACCTCGGCGTCCAGGGCCCTCCGAAACACTTCCCTCAACGCCGAGTTGCCTGAAATGGCCGCGCCCCAAGCATGCGTGGTTCGCCCAGACCAAAGTTTAGCAGGCCCGTCGCGGGCCAGCGACCGCAAGCGGCATACCATACCCATAAGGCCTATGACCCTGTCTCCCCCAGATTTTTGGGCCAATAACCTCCCCAATGCAACAATAACTTGCCAAGGCCAGGCGAGCGCCTGTCCACAAGCCTCGTAGAGCTCGCACAAGGACTGAAGAGCGCTGTCTGGAAGCCGTTCAAAATCCAGAGGAGTCAGTTGATCGACGCCAAGGCCAGCTGATGGACGCATCTTGCGTAAAGCTGCCCTGAGGGACTGCACAGTGAGCGGCGGAAGCACATCTGACGCAGCGTCATGGCACAACAAATCAAAAATCCCACCAACATACTGAGAAGACACTGGTTTGTCAGCCCACAATTTGTGAGATTTCGTGGCCTTGGCATCGATAACATCGACGGGGTTAAAAAGCCGTGCCCCTTGATGTAGAAACTCATCATGAGGAACTGGGTCAGCTCGCAGGCTCCGAAAAA